GTTTCCGTCCCTCGTACGCAGAGACCCAGGTGGCTCTACAGAGAGCCCTTCGGACCCGAGCAGTCCTTTCAGGAGAGAGGGACCCGTGTCACCTCCTGAGACCTTGCTACCAAGGAAGCAACGGGATTCCTAGAAGGACTAGCAAAGGGCAGAGAAACGTCTGCGGCCCATTGGGCAGCGTCGTTAGAACGTAAACAGCCACCGCCGACGGCACGCCAATGCTACTGTTGCCTTGACGTCTGCTTTTTAATTCTTCCCACGACACCCCCCGCACCACGGGGCCACACGTATTGCTTTTGTGATCCCGCGGGTAGAAAGGATGGCATCTCCGAGAGCCTAGTGGTCACAGAGCGCCTCATGCTTTCACAGGAGACATTTATTTTCTCACGGATCTGGAGGTCCCGTCGGGGTTGGTTCCTTCCGAGGGCCGGGAGGCCTGAATCCGTTCCTGGCCTCTCTCCTTGGATTGTAGACGGCTGTCTTCTCCCTGTGTCTCCACAGGCTCTTCCTTGTGTGCGTGTTTAAGGACACCAGTCATCTTGGATGAGGGCCCCCCGTAAGTGACCTCATTTTAAACCTAATTCCCGCTGGAAAGACCGTATCTCCAGGGCGGTCAGTTCTGAGGTGCTAGGGGTTAAGACTTCAGCATATGAATTTTTGAGGGGACGTAATTCAGCCTGTCATAGAGAGTTTGCCCTTGACTACAGAGCTGGGCGGTGGGGCTGGGAGAAGACAAGCTTCTGGCAGACCTCAAAGGCCGTGTAGGGCCAGAGCAACACTCAACGGCGGCCATCTCGGCAAGGGCTTTGGGGGAGTGGTTGGGGTTGGGGGCACTTTTTAAAAATGTTTATTTATTTGCGAGGGAGAGAATGCAAGCAGGGGAGAGGCAGAGAGAGAAGGGGACAGAGAATCTGAAGAGGGCTCCATGCTGACAGCAGAAAGCCCGACGCGGGGCTCCAACCCACGGACGGTGAGATCGTGGCCTGAGCTGAAGTTGGACACTTAACCAACTGAGCCACCCAGGCTCCCCGGGTGGTTGGGGGGGGGGGACTTGATGGGAAAGGATGGAGCTGAAGCCTCCCATCCCCGCCTTTAGTTCCTTGACTCCGGGGATCCCCCCCCCCCAACCAGAATGACCCCTTGTGTCAGTCATGGAGACTATTCTCTCTGTTGGATGTACCCAAAGGTATGTTGAAAAACGAAAGAGATTCAGGGGTCAGATTCCGGTTCTGAAACTTTCTAGCAGCAAAGGCTCGGGCAAGCATCCCAAGCCTCGTTTCTTCCCTGGTGAGATGGTGATAATTAATGATACCTGCCCGTTAGGATTCTTGATGTGAAGTGACAGAAACCTAACCGGAACTCACCTAAGCACAGAAGGGAGTAAGTCTGGTTATGGATTTCAAGGAGGAGATACTGGTTGGGCCACTAGAAAGCCAGGGATGTAGCTGGGCCCCAGGGGTAAAGGAAACCACGACTCCGACATCGACAGCTGTTCCCTCCTCGCCGCATTTGGTCAAATTCCCTCTTATTCTCCAGACCGGCTTTTGCCACCAAGTGGGAAATATGGCCGCCATTAAGCCCCAAGTTCACGTCACAGCCCCAGTCATGGGAGACATCTCTCGTGGTCTCCGTAGTCCCAAGTCCTAAGCTCCCAGGAAAGTAGTTGGTTGGCTCAGCTGGGGTCCTGTGTCCTCCAAGGCACTCTGTGACCAAGAGGGACTGGGTTCTGACATAGGGCAGGGTCATGGCCTAGGATGTGAGGTCCCCTTAAAACATGGAAGCTCCTTGGGGCGCCTGGGTGGCTCAGTTGGTTAAGCGTCCGACGTTGGCCCAGGTCACGATCCCGCGCTTTGTGGGTTCGGGCCCCGCGTCGGGCTCTGTGCTGACAGCTCGGAGCCTGGAGCCCGCTTCGGATTCTGTGTCTCTCGGTCTCTCTGCCCCTCCCCCGCTTGCACTCTGTCTCCCCAAAATAAATAAATGTTCAGAAAAAATTCAAACATGGTAGCTCCGTATTCCTCAGAGCCACACGGAGGTGGCCTGAAGGAGTGAGCTCGCTCACCCAGCTGCAAGAATGAAATGAAAGGTGTTCGGGGGCACCCTTAGTCCCCTGCCTGCCTCTGGAAATGTCGGCTCCTTTCTCCCCTACCCACCCCTAATGGAATGCGAGTGAATTGAAGGAGATTAATTTGAATTAATGAGGTGCCGCTGAAATATTTTTAACATCAAAACATATAGCTATTCTATTAACACAATATTTTCAATGGCCGGTGCTGGGTCTCTGTCGGCGAATAGACACCTTCATGTACGGGTGGCGTCCTTCACATCCCGGAGGATGACTTAACGCCCATTCTTGGTAGAGGATGGAGACAGAAAATGAATAAAACCAGGAGCAAATCGCTCCTCGTCTAGACGCAGCTGGCAGCGGGTACTCGACACTTGTTTAATTGGATGAACGATGTATAAATCGTCTAATTGACTCTTGCCTCTTTTGCCTTTGGCGTACTTCTCAAATTCTAACTAGCGTGATCTGCAACCCAGAATGAAAGGTCACACATTCTGATTTAAGGAACCCAGATAAGGAATGGCCTCATTGTATATTTGGTCCGAAGGAACCCCTTGGGTGGCATTCAAGGCTCTCCCCCAGCGTCCCTCCTCCCCTACCTGCCACGGAGCTGGGCTTAGTGAGTCTCAGAACCCATCGTTCAGTGTTTATGTCATTACTGCTACCCCACTTCCCCATCTGCTGAGGGCCCCCAGGACCTCCAAGTCCATGCTCCGAATTCACTTTCCACCTGGGACGTCCCTGAGGCCGGTGGCCCCATCCCCCGGCACAGCCCTTCTCCTGCCGTCGTCCACAGTTTACCAGTGTCCCTGCCCTGAAGGGTGTGGACTGGGACCCAGTATGTGGCAATGCTTCTCCCGGACCAGCAAACAATGCATGTTTGGGTCCAGGCCCTTGTCCAGTTTCATCTTTAAGTAAATAAACTAAGGGACGTCTAGCCCCAAGCCACCCGCTGTTCTCTGGTCATTTAAGAGTCCTGAGTGAGTGTTTAAGAGATGGTTGAGGAGAGAGGTGTGGAACCCTCCCCTGGCCACAGCAGGTGCGGCGTGCTCCCCATGGTGGCCTCTTCTCAGGGAGCAAAACTGTGTTCGTAAAGACAGCGCTTTCTACGGGGTAAACCCTGCCATTGGCCTGCAGGTCGCTGCCTTCTCGCTGTGTCCTCACACGGTCTTACATGCACCTGCCCTGGTGTCTGTGTGTCCGGATTGCCTCTTCGTATAAGGACACCAGGGCCCATCCTAACGGCCCCATTTTAATTAAAACGCTTACTTTTAAAGACTCCTATCTCCAGGGCGCCCGGGTAGCTCAGTCGGTTAAGCATCCAACTCTCGATTTCGGCTCAGGGCATGGTCTCACAGTTCGTGAGTTCGAGCCCCGCGGCAGGCTTTGCACTGACAGGGCGGAGCCTGCCTGGGATTCTCTCTCCTCCTCTCTCT